TTTTAAATGCGGGTATTTAAAAATTAAATATAAAAAAGTTCAAAATTAAAATAATAACAAATGAGTGAAATAATAAATAATAGAAACAATAATAAAAAAAAATTTTGTCACGCATCTGATTGCACTACTGTGATGAATCGACTGATCTAAATCTAAAGAAATCGCCATAGAAAAAAAATTAATTAAAAAAAGGAAAAAATGGGATTAGTAATCAAAAAAGTATCAAGTCACACGCACCTGATTGCGCCGCCGCAATGAGCCAAAGGGTCTATTTGAAATGCCGTACTCACATTCATCTGAAAGAGCGGAATTAGTTCTAACCTACAAAATAGAAAAAGTGATTATTATATATTTTTATTGTTTTTTTTTTTTTATTCGCCCCCGTTATTTTTTTTTTGTTTTTGTTTTGTATTTTTTATGTAATTTTATTCATCCCCCTCCTCCCGTTATTTTTTTTCATTTTTTTATCGTTTTTATTTATTTTTATATTGTTTTTATTTTTTTTTTTATATTGTTTTTATATTTTTTTTATTTTATTTTTTTTTTTTTATATTTATATTCGTCTCCCCCCATTATTATTTTTGATTTTCTTTTTTTATTTTTTTTTATGTAATTTTATCTGTTCCCTCTCCCCCCGTTATGTTTTTTGATTTTTTATATTTTTTATATATATATTTTTTTTTTATTTTTAAAATTTTTATTTTTATTTTTATTTTTATTTTTTTTTATTTTTATCGTTATTTTTTGTTTTTTTTTATATGTTTTATTCGTCCCCCTGTTATTTTTTTTCTTTTTAGTTTTTATATATATTATTGTTTTCTAGATTTTTTATTTTCCTATTTAATTTATTATTTTTTTTTGATTATTAATAATAACAATTGCGATTGCGTCACTGCGATGAGCTGAAGGGTGTCACATCCGAAAGAGCAGAATCAGTCTTAACTAAATCGAAAAAAAAGCCATTAGATTTTGATTAATAATCAAAAATTAAATAATCAAAAAAAAGTAGTAACTAAAAAAGTTAACCATCTTACTGCGTCACCACAATAATCCAAAGTTGCAAATCTCTCGATCTAACCTATAAATATAAACCAAATAAAATTATTTAATCAATAATTATGAACTGATTTATTATTAATTAAAAAATAATTAATTAACAATAGGAATAAACAATACATAATATTAAAAAAAAAAAATAAAACAATTTAATCATACACCTGACTGCGCCATCACGACAGACCGACTGATCTGAATCTTTTTTTTTTTTAAAAAAAAAATATTTTAAACAACCTTTATTCCTTGAAGTATATTCCTTCTCTACCTTTACCTCTACCTTATCCTCTACCTTTTAGTGTTAGTGTTAGTGTTAGAGTTAGTGTTATTGTTAGTGTTAGAGTTAGTGTTAGAGTTAGTGTTAGTGTTAGTGTAAGGTAATAATAAGGTATATAATAATGGCCGTTAATTCCAAACATTTTAAACAAAATTTCAAAAACTGGACAAGTGGTGACCAAGACATTGATGGATTCATTCAAAAAACACAACTCAAGGCAAAAGTTAAAAATGAAGTGATAGAATGGATTGATTATAATAAATTTGAACATGTTGAATACTTGGCCAAATGAGTTTATGGAATCATTTATAAGGCCTATTGGAAAAATGGATATATAATTTATTGGGATTCCAAGAAGAAAAGGAGTGACACCTTTCAGGTCGCTTTGAAAAAGTTTACATAATTCACAGGATATTACATCGGAATTTCTTAAAAATGTGAGGATTTTATTTTATTTTTTTTTTTGTGACGATCGCACATACCTTTTTTTTCAGATGAATCACATATCTTGATGAATAACGCATTTTTCATAATTTACTGCAATGGTATCACCAAAGATCCAAAAACAAATAACTTTATGTTAGTATGCAGCGAAAGTTAATTAAGAACAAACTTGGATAAAACTTTAAATTCAATGAATTGGTGGAATAAGTTGTACCTTTTAGAAGAAATTGCGTCTGCACTTAAAGATATTCATAATAACGGATTAACTCATCGGAATTTTCATTGTGTTAGCATTTAAACAATATAATGATGTCTATTTCAATCAGAGATTTGGGGTCAACCAGCGAATCATGAACATGAGCACGATAGCAAATGGCAATATATGGGGTGTTACGTTACTCCGGAAATTTTAAGAGAAAAAGAGTATACCAGAAAGTGATATTTATGGTTCCGGAATCATAGCACATGAAATATTTACAAGATTCCCTCCTTTCATTAAGTAGCTCATGATGAATCTTTGGATAAAAAAATTTTCCAAGGATTGAGACCAAGTTCTGATTATAAGGTTTTATTTCCAATTCTAGATAACATTAGACAATGCTTGGACGCAGATCCTTTAAAACGTCCCACAGCAGAAAATTTATATAATGCGAAACTATTAATAGCGGACCGATCATTTATAATGACGTTGAAGTCTTTGTATGAAAGGGATCGAAGAAAATAGTACTATTAAAGTACATCTTCGGGCAATACGCGAGTAGCTATCGAACTTTGAAAATCTTCCTGAACCAAAAAATGCGGACGGTGCATTTGACAATGAATATCCTTGTGATTTTATAAGATTTGTTACACGTCTACCAAATAAGGCAATTCTTATCTTACTTATAATTCCGGCCGATCTTTATGACTTATGACATTTAGTCATATGCTTCAAAGTTCGGACTTACAATACGCGTTTTCAAATAATAATCAATGAAGTTAGTTTATTCGGATTTTGCAAAACGTTAATGAAGTTTTAATAAAAGTTTATTCTGAATTATATATATAAACCTCACCAAAACAAAAAATAATTCATTCTATTTTACTTCTTAAAATCAAACAAATACCAAAATATGTCTGATATTTACGAAAGGATCAATAAACTTAGTCTCAAACAAGAAGAAATTATTAAACTCAAAAGTTATCTAGTTGGAAGTCAAGAAATAAGAGAACAATTACACTTGGCCCTTGCAAGTTGCAAATCGGAAGAAGAAGAAAAGGGTGTTCTACAGAATTTGTTTCATAATATTTGTGGTATGTTATCGAAAAATATTTGTCGTTATTAATGTTTGTAATCATGAACATCAAGGCGTCGTAATGATTGGTCACCTTGAATGTGACGCGCTAACCTGCTCAACTTTGCTTTATAGATTCCACTACGAATCCTGTTAAACAAGCGCGCGAAATTGGTAGGTCATAAGTAAAAGATACAAACCTCTTCCCTCGAGCTTGTGTCTTTAACATATTTGATTTTTAACATAGATGACGAATTGTATTTTTCGGTAACAAGTATGCTTAGTAAGAAACCAGATTTATTTATATACCGCGAGGATTTGTTGGATTATATTAAGCGACCATTCATCAGTGCGATCGATATTTTCCAAATGAGATATGATCGGTATTTTAAATCAGAACTCCCTCAAGAGATTTTGAACAATTTCTTCGTGAGCTCATGTAATGCTTCCATGAGAGTATGGGATCAATG